AAACGGAAAAGCCAAAACGATTGCTGGTTTCTGATTGCTTTGGTTCTGGTGAGTGTGTATCTAGTGTGATTCAAACCCATGTCATTTGTATTGGGCGTTTTTTTTATTTCCCATGTTGGCTACGCCGTAATATGCAACCACTTCCCCGTTTTATTGTGATTTTGAGTGTTTAATGATGTCTTCCTCACCCGTCACGCCATGATCCAGTTTCAACCACACGGCCATTTTGCAACACAGTTCGTGACCCTCGGCGTCACCCGACTGACTATATGAGCATTCTGTTCAACTGTTAAGCTAGGATTTATTACCGTTATTATCATTATACTGTCACATGATTTGTTTTACCTTATGTGTAATGTCTTAAGTATCTTTATTGTAATTTGTATATACCAATTCGTATATACCGAGGAAACGACCCCGATTGAAGGTCATGTATTTTATGACGTCACCAATTCGTGTGTAGGTACTGCTTCTAGATCTGTGCCTTTTTTTTTTAAACAAATGTATAATATTGAACTGAATTTAGAAAGCATAATTTTGATGCATGGATATAATAATACATATACAGTCATTTTAACGCCACTCCGGTCTTTGAGAGGATAGTTCTCAAAATCGGCATGAATTTAAGAATGCCCCTTAGTTTTTGCCATCAATGTGCACGAACAAGCTTCGTTCTGTGCTGTATATACAGAATCACATTGAACCAAAGGGAGCCCAGGAACTATTCTCTAAGACAAGCCTAAGACAAACTGGTCAAAATCCCCCAAACATTGCCAGCAACCAATCACAGACTAGCTTAAACAATAGCTTTCCCTGACGATAATACTTGGCAACGTTATTTCCCCCATGCTAACTTGAAAAATCTTTTGTTTTTGTCTTGTTTCCGGTCTGTCTTAGAGAATGATCAACTGTACGCAGTGGATTTAGCCTTCCCATTGAGTCTGTGGAACACTCACCCAGGACAGGGGGTTGACCCTTTTGATGTTCAACCTAAATTAGGATTTGAACTTGGGTATACAGATCATCATTTGTCCGATGCAACAACCACTATGCTACTGGTGCTGTAATGTTTACCTCTCTATCTTCTTGATTTACTTGCTGAAAGAAATATTTATCACTAGATCAAGAAAACGTTTTATTTATTTTATTTTTTTTCAGGATGGAAAACTGACTGAAGCTTTAGAAAGTTTGATGTCACTTGAAAAACAGACGAGAACAGTAAGTGCTGTTCCTGGCTCCTGTCATATTCAGTAGA